AGTCGGCTGTTACTGAAACCCTTTGAAATAAGCAAGATTTATTAAATATCCTACAAATTAGTCAAATAACTATTCAATCCCATCAAAAATTTATTGAGCAGGTCGTCACAATCCTCAGAATTATAAAAAGCCTCATATTGAGCATTATAAATGCAACATTTAATACTATAATAGAGTTCTTACAACTCTCCGTCTTAAATCAGTTAGAAATGATCGAAAATATTCAAGCATTCAGTTGGCACAAATATATTATTGATAGTGCATGTGTAGTTATTGTAGTTCTCAACTTTTTCAAATCTTATTTTGGATTTACTAATTAATCTTAGGCATTTTTTGAGTAGGCTTGCATCAGATATTGTTAATAATTGTGTAAAATCAAAAAAAAGTTTCCGATCAATTTGTATTGATTGCATGATGGGTTCAAATTTAATAAGAAGTTCAGAATCAAATAAGGCTGCCCAAAGATAATAGTAAAATTTCGTTTAAATTCCATTCGTTTATAAATGAGCATTGATTTTCCAAAGTATATCAATTAGTTCAATAAAAAAGGACTAATAATTGAATTAGTTAAAGGAGTCAAGATCAAAAGCATACAGAAATCTATCCATACTTTGATAATGACGCAATTTTACTAATACGTCTAATTAATATGATGTAGAGTAAACTAAACTTTTGAACCCAAGTAATAAAAAATCAAACGCATGAACAACTACCTTGAGATTATTCAAATTTTGTGCGATATATTATTAAAAAAATTAAAAGTAATTTTTGTTTATAAATTATGTGATTACTTTGATATTGTATCTGATATTTTGGTAACATTAGTACTCTGTGCGCAAGATATCATTTTCAGCCAAAACCCAATTGCTAAAAAAGTTATAAATAATCTAAATAAAAATTTGGTTGAAATATTCTTTATTAAAATTAGGCACCTATCTGTAAAATCTGCAAATTTCTCTTAAAAATCGAAACACCTGAACTTATTATTCAATTGTATTCGCCTTAGAGAATAATTGCATATTAAAGATAAGCCAATCTTAATTTGTATTAGCAAAAATGGTTCTACATGAAAATTTCAAGAGATTAACAAGATCCAATTAGATAGGGTCGAGTTTCTAGACTTCTTGAGTCATATAAAGAATGAGATCTTAAGATTTCTAGTCTTTAGGGAAATGTTTTTTGAATATTTTACAAATTTTACCTAAAACATTCCATAAAATGTTGCATTATGGTAATAATCTGAGCAGTAAAGAGATGAATTCTGGATCTAGGATGTTGGACCATAATCTTTTAATATCTGAACGTGTAGGATCCACCCATTGTATGTTTGAGTTTTCAATCATCAATTACTAAATTTCAGCTTCTATGATGCAGGGGTTGAATCTTGATAATTGGCATTATAATGAGTTGTTATTTCTGATGTCAGCTCTTCTTAGTTTGTGAAAATCCTTTTCTTTAATGTCTGTAATGAATTCGCCTTCAATTATAAAACTAAGCAAATCTATGGCTTTATCAATCAAATCAACATAGTTATTCTTCAAAATCAGCATAATGCTGTTTAGTAATAACTCAAGGTTGTTTTTATAGAAGTAATTTTTAACAGCTCTATGTTAAGAATCAAGAGTGATCACAGCTTGTTTATGTAATTTATGATTGGGTGTTAATCTTCTAATAACAGCTTCTAGAATAGGAAAAGCAGCAATTGGCTTAGAGTTGAAGAGGTCTTGGATACATAATGTAAATGAGTTTGTTGGAAGCCTATCTTAGAAATGAAACATTATTGTAGCTAAAATTGAGCCTAAAAAATGGTAAACTGGTTTTGAAGTAGAATTTATTTTTTTTACTATTTGAAAAACTCCTTGATAAATGGTTTCGAAGCAAGTGATCTCTTGATGATTGGTATCTATATATGTTGCAATGAGCGATCCAATGATTTATAATGTTAATTCATTTGTTGTTTGATTGGCTAGATGAAATAGATTAATCAAGAGTTCCTAATTCATAGACCTATAAAGTTAATCAACTTAGGTTTAGAATTGACAAATAAGGAGATTTTCATCTAATGTGTTCATTGGGATGGGATGAGATATAATAAAATATTAATTATTTACTTCGAAATGTAACAAAAGTTGTAAAAATCAAATTATTTCTTAGGACTGATTTGAGTAAGTATTTTTTAGATACAAATGAGAGGCCTTAAAATCTTATAAAGAAATACAAACCAGAAGAGCGATTTGAAGATTATCCGAAATCAAAAGAACTGATTAGATTAAAATCTGAGTTGGTAAAGAAGCATAATCATCCTCCAAATTATATAAAGGCTGATTTAAAGACATTTGACTTGCAATAATTAGGCAAAGTATTGATATCTATATTTTATGTAGTTTGATGCAATTCTAATCGATCCACCATGGGCAGAATACACAAAGAGATTGCTGTAGGCAAATATGCAGCTTAAGGAACATTAATAATCTTGGACTTTAGAAGAGTTGAAATAATTATAAATTGACAAAATTGCAGATATCCCAAGTTTCATCTTCTTGTGGTGTGGATCTGAACATTTAGATGATGGAAGAGAATTGTTCAAAACATGGGGGTTCAAAAGATGTGAGGACATTGTTTGGTTGAAAACTAACAAAGACCATTCAAAATAAAATCAATATGTTGCAGGATAAGATTATGGGGATAATTTATTTAAAAGAGTTAAAGAACATTGTCTTGTTGGTCTGAGAGGAGATGTAAAGAGAGCCTCTGATTAACATTTTATCCATGCAAATATCGATACTGATGTTATAATAACTGAAGAGGAAGCTATGGGATCGACCAAAAAGCCTGAAGAATTATATGAAATCATTGAGAGGTTTTGTCTAGGGAGAAAGCGAATCGAGTTGTTTGGAGAAATTCATAACATCAGAGATGGTTGGCTAACTATAGGCTCTTAATTAAGGGATACCAGATAAATTCCATAATAATACAATTCTTATTTCTAGTAGGAATAATTTAGTGAAGAAAAGTCATTTATGGGTCCTCGATATTTATTAACAACCATTGAAATTGAAAACCTGAGACCAAAATCTCCTCCAAAAGAGATGTAATAATAATAACCATAAACATACTTTTATTGAATAATTCATTGATCATTATTTAATTTTGTAGAATATATTAATTTCTAAAATTTATTCATTAGTTTTCTTCCAAGTATTTATAAAGATTTTAGTTAAATGTAGATTAAATTAAAACATCATGATTATTACTAAAACAAGAGTTAGCGGTAAGTCTTTTCAAATATTTGTTAACAATCATAAGGAAGCCAGGTTTCGGCATTAAATAGTGTACAATCTATAGGAAATTACCCTTTTTAAATTATCAGAGAAAGACAAAATGTATGAATCATAATTTTCACCTCCTCTTTTCGAAGTCCTTTTATCATCCAAGTACTTGAAGTGAATCCATTTGTTGCATAGTTGCCAATAACAATTATCAAGATATTTGGAACTTTAAGATCATTTGTGAAAACTAATTTTATACATTACTGTTGTTGTCATATTCATCTTCTTTGAAACTACCTTGTATTGGCCTTTTTGATTGGTTTCTTCCTTATGGACAATAATTATGAAGTAAAGGACATTATTTTCATGATTATCAAATATAAAAATATTGGAAATCATATTAGGATGGTTGTTATTTGATGATCGAAATAAATTAAAAAAAGACTAAAATGAAATTTAAATTTTATATTTATTAATAACTTACTTAAGATGTCTGAGGAAACCAATTCTATCTTTTCAACTATCAAATATTACAAAAATAAGTTGAAATTTCCCACTTTTCCAAAGTAATCTAGTGAACTGGATGAGGGTAAAGAATAAAAGGAGCTATTGTTTTCTAATTCAAAATAGAGAAAAGATGAAAGTTATCGTTTCCTAAAGGAATGGGCTGATAATAGAAGAGAAATCTTGGAAAAAAATAAATCTCAAATCGAATGGCTAGCCAATATTTGCGATACAAGGGCTAGACTATCAGGCGAATATCTATAAATTGTATACAAATTCTTTAATGAAAAATACTATCATGAACAATAATATGGACAATTCTTACTAACTAAACCTTAACCAGCACTTAAATAAAATCCATTGAGCCAATAACTATATTCAGATATCAGTTAAGCCATCTCTTTATTTGAGGAGGCTAACCTAAAAAGATGTGAAAAAGTATCTAATTTTTCTCACACATTATCAACTTAAATATTAAAAGTGGAAATTCTCCAAGACCTATTAGAAATGGATAAGAGATCGAATTAATTGTTAAGTTGTATAATTGCCCAGAAAAAATAATTATAAAAGTATCATTAACAATCCACTCAAAAGCTTAAAGCTATCACAAACTTGTTTCCTTAGTAGTAATCTTAAAGAGTAAGAAAACCAATTTTTGATAATCCAATTTAAAATGAATAATAAAATTAAAATATAGAATTAAAATAAAATTAAGAAATAGAAAAATAGAATGAAGAGCCCTCAGTAATAAAAATTAACGATATCAGTGAAGTACTGGCAGATGAGTAAATATAAGTGAGCATCAATTCCGAATAATCAAAAGAAAATATATTTGAATAATCATAATCATAATCATGTGTATTGTAATAGAGTAGCATATCAGATGATTAATAAGGTAAAGAATAGGAGCTTTTCAAAGAGAGATAATAACAATTTGAAAAGAGCAAATAAAGATCAACCATTTACCAATCCCAAACTCTACCTTACCCCTCAACTTAAAATGAAAATTAAGTTTAATAATATTAATCGACAGTAGATACATATAAATTAATGGCAAGCTATATGGCAAAATAATCTTATACAATCAAGTTATTGAATTAATTAGTTGAGCAGGTGAAATAATATTGGAAACATGTAAATTGTAGAAAAATAATTATAGGTTGTAATTATGGAATAAAAAAGAATGAAATGGGCATAGGATTCTTGTTAGATTTATAAAGATGGAATTCGTGATGTTCATAATTTTGATGTAGAATTACCCGAGTTTAAATAGGAGGTAGAATAATACTACAGTATAAATAATATTTTTCCTAATTCAAATTGTTTTGAGAACATAAAAGATTAAGATGAGTTCTGCAAATCTTTAATAATCAAAGAACTTGGATGTTAGGCTACCAGATTGCTGTTAGTTAAAGAATTCAAAGTTAATGTAGTTGAGAAAAACAGTGAGTTACCATCAATATTAGTCATTACAATTGATAAATTTATTGGTTGCTGGCTCAAATATGACGACTCCATTGATGGTAATCGTTATATAATATTTATTAGCAATTGATGTTCCAGTTTTTCATTATCCAACAATTGAGATATCAATTTAAAAAGTTGGTGAATTAATTTTAGATATTATACCATCTAAAAATCTCTTGTTTTTGAACGTAATTCTAATATATCTATTGTTATTTAGATTAATAATGGTAAGCAAAGAAGCAAAATAAAATTTGCTTGCATCGATGACATGGAAGAATTTATTACAATAATTAAACATTGATATATAGTAATATATAATTTACAACAATTAAAATATTTAATAAATGTTTCAATCATTACTTTATCAGTTCAAACTGAGGTTCAGAATGATCAATCCATGTAAAGATTACAATCCTATTTTAGTTGACATTAAATAAGAATTTAAATTTTTGAACACTACTCAATAATAATGTACATTGCATTCCAAAGAATAATTAAATGAATCCACTTATCTAATGAGATTTGGTAATTTTTAGTAATTTCAAACCTAGCAATTCCACAATAAGATAAATGCCTAGGTACCAGAATTGGACAATATATTTCATTAAATGATCCTAAATTTGATATCAACACTACGAGATATTATTGTCCTATTTCAAGAATTGATGATGTAGGAATGTTTGATTTATTGGTTCATGCCATTTACGCCGAAAATAAGAACTTTTCTACCCACATCACAACATTAAATGTAATACTTACAATAATCAAAGGAAGGGCATATTCTAAATATTAATGGGCCTTTTACCAATTACCTTTATCATGGTTATGGTGCTATTGAAGTCCCTAAATATAATATCAATTCAAATTACTAATATATTGGAATAGTTGCAGAGTCTTCTGCTATTGCAGCCTTTTTCTAAGTTATTACAAATATCTATTTTATGATAGTTGATAGAGGGCATAGCTACCAATGGCGATAATACTCATATAGGATTGCTCTATGTAGCTGACACTCTAGAAGAACTAGTTTTGATGGAGGAACTAATGTGGTACATGGAAGAGAAAAAGATAAATGCTACATTTATGTTGAGAAATGAAAAAGACCTAATTAATAAGTTTTTTAGTGGTCCCAAGGGCTAATTAAACCCCATTTATTTGGAATAGTATTTGCCACAACCTAGTGATTAAACTTTAGTTCTTGTGTGTGGGAGCAGGTATATATTTATAATTTATTTTATTCTTCAGGGCATTTAAAAAAGAAACAAAAACCCTATTAGAAAACATCAATCACCAAAATATAGCTATAATTTGATTATATTATTAAATGTTAATATTATATTATACAATTTTTTATGTTAAATTATAAGGTTTCATGAAATTAAATCTAAATTATTTTGTTTTAAAAATCTTTATATCGAATACATTAACAATTTCTTTATTTAATATTTATTCTTCAGAAAATCTAAACATTGATTAAGAAATGTCAGAGAACATTATTTAAAATGAGAGGATCAGATAATATTAGAAGGTGCATCAGCTATAAAAGGAGTAACTCCAAAAATTAGTTTTTTAGAAATCCTACTCCATCAAATCTGTAAATTTAGTATTTCTATTTAGGCTTCTATACTCTTAGACATTAACTATGCTACTGCTAAATCTATTATAGCAAAAATTCGAAAATCAAAAATAAGAAAAAATTACCTAATCAACAAAAAATTGAGACAGTCTCACTTTAAAAAAATAGAATACTCTAAATCTTAATTAGAAATCAAATCTTTAGTCTCAGGTTTATTGATTAGTGAGTGTATTTATTAATTATAATGAATATCTTAGAAAATCTGAAACAATCATCCTTTCGATTTTGGGGGATTTTGCTGTAAGCAAATACCCTAATATAAATATAATTTTATAATCAAATATCAATCTAATTTAAAGTTCACTTCCATGATGGTATTATTAGTTTTTAACAGCATATTTTCTTATAATATTTATTCGTCTCTTAAATACAGCCAGGTCCCATTTGTTGACGATTTCCCTTCAATTCCATCGATTATTTTCCATTGGCCATCGAAAAGTATAGTACACTAATATTTTGATAAAAGAACATCATCATAGTATCTAATCAAACAATCAATATTTCTTCCTATGGTAACAGGTAAGTAATTTTTGGAGCTTAGAATGTAAACATCGTCCTTTGCAGTACCACCATAGAGTTAAATTCTAAGGTACCATTAATCTCTATCTAAAGATAAAAATTATTATCTATCGCAAGGATAGCCACTAACAATGAATTCCTTTACGTCATACAAATTATTAAAGGAAGGCATTCTTAGTAAATCTTACCCAAAGCATATTTATGTTGTAAAATACATTGATCCCATTGTTATTAGGGTATTGTTTTATAATTGAATTTCACTTGCCTTGAAAAAACAGCCGAATCCAATTCCTAAGTCTTTAATTCTAAAGTTTTAGTTTTGATAATCATATTTAATATAAAAATGCTATCCTCTATTCTTCTTATTCAATTTGTTATCTATAGAAGGGATTTTAAAATCATTAATTTTGTATCCCCCTTTTTTGTTTTTGTATTTACAACCAAAATAAATTACATTAGATTAATGATTCGGTTGAAACTCAAAAATATAATTTTCATCCAAGGTGGCAGAGGCGATAACTCTTAAAATCAAGGTTGGTGTTTTCCTATATTGTTCCTGGTGTTAAAAGGGTGATATCTTGTTGGTTTTTTAAAGATCTGCTTGGGATGACTATGGATGCTTTTTTTCTGTTAGTTAATCATTCAGAGTTGTATTTATAATATCGAAGTGAGAAATGGGTTATTAGTGGTTTATGATATTATCATAATTGTTAGTATTTAAATATTAAGGCGAATCAGCGCAGTTGCAAGACTCTTTGGAAATTTATTCTCCCATAATAATAAATTATATTTTATAGTATGGTTTGTAAATTGAAATAGTTTGGATTAGAAATAAAAATATACATTTTAATTTAAGAATGTTACAATTGCCCAAAACAAGTAGAACGCCTGGATAAAATTTTAGTTTTAACTAGTTTGCCTCTGCTCCTAGTTCTCCAGATAGGAATAATAAGCAAAGCACTTTAAAAGATTATATAAAATATCGATAAAGAAATTTAATTGATTTCGTAAAGAGCAGATTATAGAGTCGACAAATTAGTCCAAAAAACCTTTTTAAAGTAGATCTGATTAAGTTTGCGAAGAAGAAATATGATAGCATGCCTAGTCCTATAATTGGGGAGATTAAATTTTTATCAACATAAAAGTCAATTGGAGATTCAATTTAGATAGTAAATGGGCAAGGGATGACAGATGAAACATTGTTTGATGAAATAATTGATTTGGAAAATGCAATAAACTCGAATGGAGTAGATAAAAAAATGATGGGATCACAAAGGCAAATAAATCATTCAATAATGAAGAAAGAAGTAACTGAGGATGGTTAAGTGAAGATTAATTAGTACACAATACTACAAGAACTTGGTAGAGGATCATTTGGGAAAGTGAAATTGGCAAAAGACAATAACAATAGAAAATATGTATAAATTTATAGGTAATTAAATTTAGGCAGTGAAAATATGCGATAGAAAGAAGTTAAAGTTGAAATTACTTTCGAGTAAACTTGATGCTTATTCATTACTGGATAAAGAAATAGCAATAATGAAGAAAGTAGACCATGATAACATTGTTTAACTCTATGAAGTTATTGAAAATCCACACAATGATAAATTGTATTTGGTTTTAGAATATATGGATGGACCCCCGATATTATCAATTTAAAAAAGTAGTATTGAAATTATATGGAAACTCTTTCGTGATTTCATGCTAGGACTAGAATATTGTATAATATATCTATACTAAGTTATAAGTGCACAATTTCGCCAATATTGCTCACATGGATATTAAACCTGAGAATCTTCTCTTAAACTAGGAAATGAAGTTGAAAATTGCAGATTTTGGGGTTTCTCAAATTATGGACGATGAGTTAGTCAAAACTAAAATTGGGACATCAGCTTACCAACCACCGGAAGTATTTACTGATGAGTAAGTAAGAGGCAAGCCAATTGATGTTTGGGCTGCTGGGTTAACATTTTACCAATTAGTTTATAATGAACATCCGTTTATTTCATAAAGATAGGATCAATTAAAGAATAATATTCTCACTTAAAGCATTAAGTGGAGAGAAACCTCAGACTTAACAGACTTGCTCAAGAGAATGTTAGAGAAGAATCCCAATGATAGAATAACAACATAACAAGTGTTAGTATCTTCTATTGATTATTTCAGGAACATCCGTGGGTGACTAAACATGGAAGATTTCCTCTAAAAAATGATCACTAAGGTAATTTTTTAGTGACGGAGAACGATATTCATAATGCCATCACAAGATTATCCTTCAATATGGCTATTAGAACTTTAAATAAATTGAAATAAAAGTTAAGTTAATCTCGCTAGCGATTAAAATAAAGAAAGGTTTTGGAGTCATGATGATCCAACTTTTATTTTTATAATTTAAATTATTTTCTGATTTTATCAAAACAATTTTTTCTAATAATAATGAATTTTTACATCAAAGTCACATTTAACAACACTTCATGTCATCTTACTATTGACAATGAAAATAACTTGGTGATCATGAATTAAATCCAAATGATGACATTTCCTTTAAACCTAGATGCGAATATTGTCTGGAGACTAGAGAATAACCTTTTAAAAGGCTTTGAAATAAATGCGTTTTTGTTTTTGGGTGATCATCATGATCTTCTGAAGCTCAAATCTATCTTGGGCTAACTGGTTACCTATAAAAAGATCAGTAACATGTACAACTTTCTCAGCACTCTGGGGAAGGGAAACTATTCATAAGTATGTTTGCTTCAGTGTAAAATAACTCATAAATTATATGCTGCCAAATGTATGAAAAAAGAAAACCCTGCTGTTATCAATGACATCAAAAGAGAAATACAGATTTGGTCTATGTTGTAACATAAAAATGTTGCCAAATTTTATGAAGTTTATGAAAGTACAAACAAAATTTATGTTGTAATGGAAAAGCTCAATAAATTACGAAATGACTACGATCATGAAGAAATTAAATTAATTATGAAAGTATGATAAATTTTCATTAATTATTAAGGCTATTTTGGAGGGTGTTAATTATATTCATTCCAAAAATATTATACATCGAGATTTAAAAATCGATAATATTTTGATTGATGACGAGAATTAAGTTAAAATAATCGATTTTGGATTAGCGTGTCAATTCATTAATGTAGAATCCAGAAATATTAGTTGTGGCACTCCTGGTTACATAGCTCCAGAAGTTCTGATCAACAAATCCTTTGATTATAAATCTGACATCTTCAGTATTGGAGTAGTCATGTATTAACTTTACTTTAATAAACATTTATTCCAAGCTGAATAAGTGGCTGACATTCTTAAACTCAATAAGAAATTTACAATATCTCGATTATCTGTATTGGATATACCAGATTGTGGTTATCAATTCTTAATAAGCTTATTGAATCATAATCCAACGCAAAGAATAACAGCCTCTCAGGCCCTCTCACATTGGTATATGAATTCTATCAAGGAGGAGCATTTTACTAAAGTACCGCGAAATCCAAATCCTAAATTCAAAGACCATCTCCAAACGTGCATAATCATGTGTTCCAAAACTACTATAACTTCATATAATAAAATTTAATGAAATTTTTGTTATTTATTTATTAATTATAGAATTCCAAATCATGTTTTTATCCTAAATTCAAATTAAATTTGTATTTTAGCTTTTTCTTAAATTTCCTAGATTAATATTCCAAAAATACTTATTCCCATTATTTTTCAAGATTTAAATCATTTAAATTATTCTTGCCAAACCTTTAAGCAAATTTAATTACTGAGGTCATTTCATAATTTATTAAATATCACTTTTTAATTAGATTATTTAATCTCGAAATTCTAATTATTCGAAATATTTGTTTTGTTCTATCACTATTTTATGATATTTGTAATGTTTCATTAATCACAAAACCATTAACTACAGATAATAAACGTAAAGATTACATCCTTTTAAGTATTTATATATATAAAATATTAAATTAGTCACTCATCATAACATAAAATATTGATTAGAATAGATTTAAAATCAGCATCCCAAGTTTTCAAAAAGGAAGTACAAAATATTAACATTCTTTGAATCATGTTCACACCATCATGCAATCCTTATATTGCCTAATAATTATTGAAGAGTTAATTCTCACTATTTTGAATTATTGACAATAAATGATCAACCTTCAGATTGTTGTTTTCTTGGTTAAATAGGCATTGAGAATGTTTGTGAATGACAACCTCTCCCACAATATTTGATAGAATGACATTTAAGTCTTTAAGATTAAAGGTTTTTAGGTATTTCTAGCTTATCCATTCAGAAATATACTGTTGAATTTCAGTGTTAGTTTTACCTAGATAGCACTCAATCCCTCTAAAGAATGAAGATATTGGAGAGCATTACACTCCCAACTGATGACTGATGTCTATTAGGTTCTTAATGTAACCTATTTGCTTCTAATAATTCAATTTGGTCATATCACTCACATTTAAATAACCCTACAAGAAATTAGATATGGTATAGAATAAGGCAATATAATATTACTGAGATTAGGGAATCTTAGTGATTGTTTCATTGTAATTTGAAGTCAACTTTGTTTTCGGTGATTTATTGTTGTCTAATTTTTAATACTGATGCAATTTCAGATTGTCTTTTTAAAATATCAATATTTATACATAATCTTTAAATCGATATTGGGTTGTCATGCTAGATCTATAGAGCTTGATCATACGATAAAATAGCCAGGTAGATGTTACTCATCCCTTCGAAAAGCAATCCAATATCAACATGTAATTCTGCTATGTTGGGGTTTATCTGAATTGCTTCATTCAGACATTGATGTCCTTCGTGCATTTTTCCAAGCATCATAAATGCTTATCCTAAGGAAAGAATAGTATATTCTGAAACCTTTAGTTCCCAAGGCATAAGCATTGTTCGGTCTCAATTTCAGACATATATTGAGACTGTCAATTGATTGTTCATATTTGCATGTATTTAAATAGTACTTCCCTATGAATATATTTGCATAAGCACCTCTCAAGCAATAGGAATCTGGATCTTTCGGAAAGCGAGATAATTATTAATTGGCATAAACAAAGGCTTTATCATATTCGCCATTCTCCATGTAACACATGGCTTAACAAAAATAAGTATAACGATACTGATCAATTTAAATATGTCTAATTATTATTAATCTATTTTGTATGCTTTTAGGAAACAGTTTACAGCTTTGGTGTATTCTTTTTTAAGCATGAATGCTCTTCCCATATCCTTGATGGTCACTGCTGAAAGGGGGTTTTTGATGAGTGAATTTTCGAAGCATTACAAAGCTTCGTTTGGATACTTGAATATTAAATAGATGTCTCCAATGTGATAAAGCACTTCTGAGTCATTCTGATCACACTTAGACAGAACCTAAATGGCTTCATCATACCTTTTCTCTGCTTTTAAGTTTATGGCTTTGTTTCTTAAATAAATTCATACCTTAGAGAATGTTTTCTTAAGTATTCATTTACAATATTAATAATAATTAAGAAAATAGAATTTGAATATTAGTAAATTCATTTATATTTTTGTGCACATTCTTAAGCCTTCTTCGTCTTTAATGAATTTTTATGTAAGATGATGAATTTAGAATTTAATTTTTTATTTCATGAGACAATTTTAATGGTATGATTAAGCTAAAGTTATCCCTCTCAATGTCTGTTTTACAACTAATTTACACACAGAAGTCAAAATCTTTGAAAATACTAAAGGTAAGAGATCTTGAGAAATATGGTTTTTCATATTTTATAATTATATTATCAATTGAGGTTCAACTATATTATATTTATATTTTATCCAATAAACACACAATTGTTAGTTATTTTTAATTGAGCTTTATACGTTAAGACTTACTATCATTAAGAGCACAATATTGGATTTTCCAGATGCAGTTGACAAAAGTTGTAAGAATTTCGGAATTTAGCAATTAAATTGAGCGAAAAGGTTCGAGAAACCCAGTTTATAGTATCCCTTTAAGATGGTTATAGATTAAAGAGTAAAAATATTTATTTTAGCCTTTGTTTCTAAAGAGCCTTCAAGTTAAGCAAAACAAAAAATTATGCTTAATCTTTATAACCTATAAATAATATGATCTCAGAAAATGAAGAGTGATTTAATGAAATTCATTATATAATATGATTCATTAATATTAATTTATAGAATAATTATTATCAAATCGATCAATTCAAGCTTTAAGCTATTCTTTCTAAAATAATAGTAGAGATGAATAAATACAAATCCTTAGTAAGTGTAATTGATTCCTAATTCTTTTAGTTTCTATCTCTTCTCTTCTTCATTTGATAATAACCTTTATACTTCCTTAACAATTTATTCATTTGATTTTTCCTACCTAGAACAATACTAATACTTTATTTGATTCTTCAACTGCTTTTTCAGACCAATTAATAAAATGCAATTTTTAATTTCCGTGTTTATATTTGAAAGGATCAGGATGTTAGTCACTTAATACATTGACAACCAACTTCTTTCCATTCATTAAATAACCATTCATAGCTTATGCTGCTATAGGTGCTACTTCCTTATCAGCGAATTTTACGAAACCATAGCCTTAGACTCTATTGGTCTGAAAATGTAAATTTATGGATTACTTTTTTGCTTCTAAATAATTTGACTCCAAGCACGTCACCAAATTAGGTAAAGTATTCCTTCAATCCATCTTCAACAAACCCATAAGGTAAATGGCCAACATAAATAATTCCATTTTGTCTTTCTTATGGTTATTATTCTAATCTGTTGACTTTACTTTTTATTTTTTATTCTTTATTTGAAGATTCTTAACTTTATTTCTCAACAATCTTCTAAGTTTTGCCAATAACCTTCTAGGTCTTTTTTGTACTCATAATTAAATTATATTAAATTATGTTAATTATTTTAATATAAAAGTAATTTAATAAATTCTAAATCAAGTCATTATTCTAGGTATTCCAACATCACTAAATTTGCAATACTATTTTCCTCTAAAGTTAATTTTTTAGGATAAAACAGAAAACTAATTTTATGTAATTGGCTTTTTTTCCTCCCCAATAAGGCTAATAAATTTGTCATTCCTTCCACAGACATGTGATAATGTTCATTGGTAGATAAATCTATTTTGAAATTCAATTTATGTATTCTATTAAAATTATAATATAGTTATTGTATTGACGAAGGTCTTGGTCTTTAGAATAATAAATTTGAACAAATGCTAGATGTGTATTATAATCAATTCAAAAATAGACGAAATTGATTAATGAACCAATTTTTATGAGTAAGTAATGATTTTATTTCAATTTGATTGTGACTATCTTTTGGTAGAAATCTGTATGATGGTTGAAGTGAGTGTTTTAGATTGCCTACAGCTATCAGAGGTTGCTGCTTTTGATTGAGTTCTTTTAAATCTAAATATATGATATTAATTATTCTTATTAATGATTTAAAATCATCCTCTGTGTCCTAAATCAGCAATGGAAAAGTATTATATGGAGCAGCAACTCCCTAAATATCAGACTCTACCTCCGTAGCTGGCGCAGAAGAAGAATCACTCTTATTATCATGATAATTCGAATATTTGGAACAATCAACACCAATCCAGTTCGAATATGAAGGTGTTTGCCAAGATCTAAGAATAGAAACTGAGAGGGGAGAAACGCATTAAGTAATTGCAAAAGCAAGAAGAGAGAGACAAAACATTGTATTAAATGAGCAAGCACATCTATTTCAATTAATTGAAGCAGGAGGACCATTTGAGGATGCAAACTCGTAAATTAGAGCGGGCAGGTCTACAAAATCTGAGTCAATAACAATCGGATATTGAAGCAGATCAATTACAACTCAAACCCATATAATACAATACTACCTTGTAAGGAAGGCCTGAATTGTTTTGGAATAAAGTGGGGTAGCATTCTCAGAAGCACATTAAGATGCTAGTGAATCCAAAAATCTTGGCCATGGAAGAGGAGGCAGTGAAATTGATTGAGAAACGTATTGAGAAAGAACACAAAGTTGAATAAATTAGGTGGGAATTAAAACAAGAGAATATGAAACTTATTCGGAAACTCAATGCCAAGAGGTAAGAAGAAAACGATGAAATTCATTATAAAGCAGGGTTGTCTCCATCTCACAAGATGGGAATCTCTAAAACCATTCATGTTAGACGACCATCTCGTCCATCTCGACCTTCTCTAGACATTATTGAATAGACCCTGTAACAAATCGAGGAGAAACAAGAAAGAACAAGTCGACCATTCACAATAGACAGTGATAAACCATCATTTTCATTACATGTAAGACCTCAAACTAGTAAATTAGAATAGTCAGTCAACTAAAAATGTGCATAGTCTAGCCAAGTAAATGTTATAAGCATAACAAGATAGTAATCACTTAGTGTCACTAAGAAACGCACTCTTAGGATGGATAGATCTGAGTTTAAGGGATTGTACTTAGCATAGGCTTGTGATGTTAGCGACAACAATTTCAGTAAAACCATCCGTTCTAATTGTACCATTCTTAAGGGAATCTCGAATTAAAAGATTAGAGCATAACAAATGCCTTAGAATATTAGGTCTACTAATTAACCTGAGGAGAATGTAAACAAAATGTTAGATTCATTTGAGGGCAAATTGTAGGATAAAAAACTTAAATATTGAAATAAATATATAGAAGGTATATCATTTTTTATCTTCTTCTTTTTCAACTTTCTTTTTTTGAAGCGGCACAAAACTTTTTATGATTCTCTGAAATTGCCATTAATAAAATTGTTAAATTTAAACACATTCTAAGTTAGATGAGTGATGCCTATTCTTGTCTGTGTATGCTAACTCTCTTTGGTATACATAATGGATACTCTAAATATTTGGATTTTTATATTCTTGAAAGTATGCAAAATTTAAAATATTCTACAAATTAAATCTGATATCTTAGTTATGATATCATACCTTCTTGTTCTTGAATAAAATTTTGGCCTAATTTTCTAAATAGAAGTAAGGTCTTTTTTCTAAATTAAAAATCTCGGTTCATAGTCTAGAGCATTATGCATCCATTTGTAGAAAGTCAAATATTCTCTTGAGAGCAGTTTATTCATAGAATAATAAGGAGTTCTCAAGTGAATTGGAGTAATTATGCGAAAAATTGAATCCCTCTTAATGTTGTCTTGGTAAACCTAAATGCTTCCTTTAAATCTTCTATCCTCCCAGTAATCTTAACATATCCATATGGCAATCTCTCATCCAAACTTGGTTTTCTAGTTAGGATTCTTTGTTTCTGAAATTAATAGCACTCGACGCTACTTTGGTGGTTTATCTTTGATTAGTTTTGCAAAGCCTTCTCTATAAATTAAGACCTATTTTATTGGGTCTAGAATTGATAGACTAAATGATCGACTTATCTAATTGATGGAATTTTAATTGTAATAGCCACAATAATGTTAACCATCATACTGCATTTGGTGTAATCGCCAACTGCACTTGTTAAGTGCTTTGTAATGCTTTATTGTGTTTTTTATGCTAATTAAGTATTTGTAACTCATTATATTTGTTCGAGCTTCATATATTGGGATTTCAAAGAGTTAGCTTTTCACTCATTTGCCCATTTCGCCATTGAATATCTCATTTTTGAAAGCAAAGTTGAAGTAATCTCTAGTTGTCCTACATTTGAGGGTCATTGGGATTTTAGTCTCAGTATAATTGTTAGCCATATAATTAAAGGTCATGAAGATATTAATTAAAATATGTAGCAAATCGAGGATCAATACGTGCCAAATGAGGAGGAATATGAGCAAAAGGATTAGACTACCAATACTCGTTTTGGTAAGTTTGTCAAGGAGCAATGGGAGAAGATAGAGAAGAAGAATTTCAGCTAATTTGAGACAAGAGTGTTGTCAACTCTACAATAATTGGGTAATAACAGTGCAGAGGATTTGATCGAGAAATAGGCAGTTGCGGAGGTTGTGCAGAAGGAGAAGGATAATAGCAAGTAAAAGGGTGGTAAGCAGAAGAAACCAGAGTAAGCACCATAATAATAGGAGGTTTAGAAATCGAATGTCATCTACGAAATTTGTGTGGGTCAAGACTTGTACTTGAAGTATCTGAGACCCAAATTGGTCGAGTATGGCATTCTAAGTAAGATTGATGATGGCAATCCCAAATAAGAGGAAAAGAAGCAAGCATAGGGTAAGAAGGGTGGTAAGAATGTAGTCAAGAAGGAAGATTTGATGCGTATTGAGTTGTCGAAGGACAAGGTCAATGATCAAACCGTGAAGATGTTACAATAGATGGGATTGATCATTTTAAATCAGGATTTAAAACCTAAGGAAAATGAATTTCTTAAAACCGAATAAGCAAGTAAGCGTATCAAATCCTTGAAATGGATGGAACTCAAGTTCTCAGCCTTGATGATCTATGCCACCCAATTAATCAAATGTCACATCCACTCCAAATTCAGGGATGAATACGCCTTTGAATTGATCTACTTCCTGAAGAACGTCTATCTCAACTACAAAGAATACGAGGGTTAATCCTATTTGGATGAGACAAAGAAGGAAAGATTGGCTCCTCAAGCAGTCGAAGATCTCAGATACAAACTCAAAGAATTGTACAAGAACTTTGGTTTCTCAAACAGAGTCTTATTTAATAAGTATCCAAAGTTGGTCATCGATACTGATTTAAATCAAGCATTCATCAGAACTGATGTTCGTCCATATAAGTCATAGGAAAACCTTTTGGAAATCTTGAAGAAAGCAGAAAAGCCATCCTTGATCTTCTTTAGTACTATGGTTGGTACAGGTAAGACTGTGTTGAGTGTGGCCATTGCTTAATACTTGGCACGCATGAGAGAAAGTTATGCACTTCAAGAAAACAACGCCTATAATTAATTGAAGAATCTAGGGTATAGGAATCCCAGAGAAGTTTAGTTTTTGTATTGTTGTCCTTTGGATACGGTGAGAACCTAAGTGGGTGCTGCTGCGTATGAGAGGAAATTGAAATTTGCTATTGCATCAATGTGGAAGGATTCTTAGAGTTCTAAACTGGATTCTGATTTGGGATATGCTGAATGTCCAAGACTAGTCAATTCCTGGTAGAATAGACAGGAGGAATTCCCAACTTTGGTTGTGGCTGACTTCAAGACTACCTTGGAATTGTTGAAGGAGAAGCACACCTTGTCAGAAAGGGAGAAGCAAGTAGTTAGATGGTAGGGTAAGGATCGTAAATTGGTATCCCATAATCCAGCTAAGCATGGAAAGGATTACATTTTGTTTATCGATGAACCTACAGTTGATGCTGATTTTGCAGATGCAGAAGTAACCAAGATATTGATTGACATCATTCGTCGAGCTCCACCCATTACAATATTATCTAGTGCTACTTTGCCACCTCCTGAGAAAATACCAAGTTTCATCAAACTATACAGGAAGGCTCAAATCTCTGAGATTGATATTCCTGTGGTTCATGATTCTCAATTCCATATTGGTTGTTAGGTCTTTTCTCATAGTGGTCACAAGTTCTTGCCACATTATTAGGCATAGAACAAATAGCAATTGGCTGAAATTTTGGATAGATTGGAGAAGAATCCATTTATGAAGAGGTGTTACAATGCTAATGCTTATTGTGAATTGTATGATAGAATGAAGGGATGTGGAATTGTCAACATCGAAGATTTTGAAACCTTCGATATTATTACGCAAGAATTTGTGTAAAGAAAAAGCATTGAATTATTGAAGATTTTGTTAACAGTGGATGATGAATCTTTTAAGAAAGTGTGTTCAGAAAAACAAGAAGTTGTTTAATAATAAGATTTAGGTGAATAATAGTAAGAAGGAGAAGAACAAGTCTAAGAAGGAGAGGAGGGAGAATATGAGTATGAATACGAATACGTCTATGAGGAAGTCGAGGATACAGGAGCAGTTAATTAGACTGAGGAGAATAGTTAATTACAATAACAATAGAAACCAAAATCAAAATATACTTATACAATTGAAATAGATGATGAGGATAAAATGAAATTCACAGCCCCATATCATAAATTAGATATTAGACAATTGGGTGGCAATATGGCTCATAAATTCTTAGGGGGCTGTTTGATTGCTGTAAATTCACCAGTAGAATTCATCAGAGCCAAATTCCACAAACTACTCAAGAAGTGTTCTCCAGCTTCAGAATACGTGAAATAATACCTAAAATAACACGAGTATTTGGAGAAAGAAATTCAAAAGAAGGAAAGAGAAATCGATAACGAGGATGAGAGATCCAAACAAATCCAAGCACTATAAGAAAGCATGAAATTGACAATAGCATTTCCTGATTTCTTGAAAATAAATACATTGGAACATTACAAAGTAAGCAATAATTATAAGAATCAATTAGAAATTCGTTACCAATGACCCCTTGTATCTAGAACAATATAGAGCCAGAAAGGCCTTCTCGCTTGAGGGAATCAACTATCAACTTGATATCCCTGATGACATCATGTTGTATCTCTTCTCTGGTATTGCAGCCTATACAGAAAAGGTATCTAATGTGTATGAATCCTATTTTAGTAATCCGAATTGGACATTGATTATTATGAGGAGGTGTAGAAGTTGGCATCAAATGGGCAATTGGCTTTGATTATTTCTGATGATTCTATGTGCTACGGTGTCAATTACCCCTTGAATCACGTCGTTGTTTTTGATGAGATGGCAGAAAAGAGATCCGTCGGAGCCTTGTTTCAATTGATAGGAAGAGCTGGTATTGATGTTAAATCGAATGTTTAATAGGTCGTGTCGGTGTTTCATGGACAGCCAATGCATATTTGGGAGATAAGACCTTCGACAGATTGATCAAGTACTTGAATGGGTAGAATGAGGAGACTGAGAGGGACGAAGCTTACAATATCGAATAGTAGAGTAAGAGAATGATTTAACATCTGATCGAGTTGGCAAAAAAGAAAAAGGAATAGTAATGAACGTATTAATACAATTAAAAATGATTTCTAAAAAACCAAATCGACCAAGTGTATGACTTTCTATAGAGTATCAATGATGGCACTCTAGAGAGCTATCGGAAATCACTTCCAGAGCCGTGGATTCTAAACTCAGTCATTGATGTTGCATCTTTGACTCCATCGCAAAGGATAGTGTGTCTATACTTTGCAGGAGATGAAACTCAGTGTGGTAATGCTTTGGAGAAGAGACTTGTGTTGAATAAGGAATAGGTTTCGCTATATAACTTAATTTAGAGTGCGGGTAATGTAATTTGAGATAACTTGTTGATGAATGGAGTACTTCAACCTAATTAATTAATCATCAACCCTAAACCATGAGAGCTGTGATTCAATGTCCAACGCTAAGAAATGCACTTGAACACATCTTCGCCTCCTTTTCAGTTGATTATCTAAGACCTGTACCCACTACAATTCAATCCACATTTAATTGGATCACCCTTCAATTAGCCGATCCACTCTGGGATTATACCATCGAAGTCAGCCAAGAGCCACTAGTCAGAATCAAGGAGAATCTCCTCAAAGCTCAACAATCCAAATTGTCTCAGAGGGAAGCATAAGAAACCATTGATCTTCTCAATCAAGATCAGAGACATGTGTTAGACAGTGGAATCACACCCAATCAACTCCCCAACCTTATTGAACACAATCCTGATCTATCAAGCTTTCTGTTGGCTCGCATCAATCAATGCGGCATCAGCATCCATGAATACTTCGAATGCTTGATTTAAATGAAGATATCACTACAGAGTTTGGAAGTTGTCAACAAACTCTCCAATTCAATCAAATTGCCTGAAGCCTTCCTCCACATGTATCTGTAAAAGTGCATCCTGTATTGTGAAGAATTGCAAGTATATATTATTCTAAACAACAGCCCAAACAATAGATGGTGTCAAGATATGTGAGATTGGTAGCTGTCTTCATCAAAACCCTCATCAAATCAAAAACCCTAGATCCAAAAAGAATGTTCACTGAAATATAAGGATTCTGCATCGAGTTCTCAAAGATCCCTGAGGCTTCATTGC